AGGAAGTTGTTGATCGGAATGGGGGCAGTTGTGTAGTTTACAAAATTGTTGCCAGACCTAGGAGGGTCTGGGCTTAGAAGTCATGGTTATTACTTAACATAGGGTCACAGTCAATACCCCAAGAAGCCAGTGACCTGATACAAGATTAAATATAAATAGGCCAGGGATAATCACATCTAAGCAGTTTGGTCAAAGTGTGACCTGTCCTCCATTGTAAATGGAGTTTCTTAATTGGTCTATATAATAAAAGCAGGAGTCAGATGTAGAAGGAAATGCTGTGAAATCAGAGAAAAGGAGCAAGCCACCGCACACCTTACCCCCTAAGCATCTCAGCAGGCAAGAGAGCAATTCCCTGTTTGTCCCTGCTTACATCATGTTTCTGCCAGCTACCTCACTTCCTGTCTGTCTGTACAGACCTCCAGATCGCTATAGTTAGCTAGTGGCAATCTCCGTTCTCTAACTCCCAGAAAGGCTTTATTTGTGCAAGAAAGATTTAACCTCATTCCACTGACCTGTTACTGTCTGGCTAGCAAGGTGGTCTGACAAGTGGCCGTCACTGTGTGAAATCTGAGAGGCAAGTTTCCCCACTACTACAGCCACAGTCCCTCTACTAATTATAGTTTATAGTTCACCTTTTGTGTTACAAATCCCGAGTTTTGACAGCTTTTCAGCATTTTCTTTCTCCCAGCATGAGAGCCCTGAATGGGTAATTCTAGTTTCTTGGAGTTGTTTGAGCAATGAAGGTCAAACAGAGGAACACGGGTGTCTCCTTAGAATATTCATTTCCGCTGGGCAAGTTAGTTATATAACTGTACACTTCCCAAACAGTTGGGAAACTCAGGAGAAACAAGCTGCCCATTCTGAGAAAGGAGTAACATTTCTCTCCAATATTTCATTATATGACAGGTCACTCTGATGATCTCATCTTTATTTGTAATCACTTATCTTAAAAAGTTATCATACTTAAATATATATTTGAGGACTTGCAATTTTTAAAAAAATCTGCTTCCAAATTAGAAAGGGTGTTCTTGTGTGTGTGATGTTAAGTTTTTGGCTTTTACAGTTGTGTGAAAAAGGCAAGCTGTGTCTTGGTGCATGTAGCATTTTAAAAGTTCTTTTGTACATACTATAATGTCCACTACCTCAAACATTTATTGTTTAGTGTGTTGGGGAGTTCAAAGTGATCACAGTGGGCTGGTTTGAAAGAGTATCATGGGATATTCTTCTTCCTGTCCATCTTTTCTCTGGAGCCTGGTACCTGTTCTCTTCATACCAGTCCAATACCCTTCCAAGCAGCTGCTAGGGTCAGTATTTGCTGTTCTCTGTGTGCCTTCCTTCATTTCTTTTATTGTTGGTGTTTTTTGAGACAGGGTCATGTTATATTTCTCTGACTTATTTGCCTGGGCTTCATTAGTGCCAGGATTACAGGTGTATACCACCACACCTGCTACAACATTCTGCCTAGCTCAAGGTGATTCTGTAGTCATTTGTAATTTCAATACACATTCACATTTTCAACTACTCCTTTCTATACCTCATCTTCCTTCCAAAGACAATAAATAGAACAGAGCATTTACAACAGATACTATGCATGGCAGTCCATTACATGTTGATGTTTTTACTATATATAGGTGAATACAGGTATATAGTCATTGAGTTGTAAATAGAATTATATCACCATAGTAGTTTAATATTGTCCTTATACAATATGTTTTGAATAAATGTTTTTGCTCTACATTTAACTCAGAATTGAGCATGATGAACTATTCTGTTCACTGTTTTTCTGTTAAATAGATGCTACTTCTGTATCATGCATCTCTACACATCTTTGCATTTGAGACATAAGTGCAATTAACAGTATTTGGCAGGTGCAATATAGCAGTCCCCAGTGCCATGGTGATGTTTCAGGACTGTCTCCTAAAGCACAAATATTGCAGGACAGTAACAGAATATTGTCTGGAGTTGGCATAATGGTATTCCTTCATACAATTAGACAGCTAATGCACATCCTGTGTGCCCTCAATGGAGGTGTGGTGATGTGATTTGAATTAGAATGTCCTCCAAAGGTTCATGTATTTGGACACTTGGTCCCCAGGTGGTGGCACTGTTTGGAGGAGTGTTTAGGAAGTGTGAACTTCATGAAGGAAGTATGTCACTGGAGGCAGGCTTTGAGAGACTTTCACCATCTCTAGTTTGCTGTCTCTGCTTCATGCTTGCAGTTGAAGATGTGAACTTTCAGCTTCCCATTCCAGCCGCCATGCTATTCCACCCTGACATAACAGACTCTAAGTCAAAATGAACAACTTCTTCTATAAATCTCCTTGGTCATGGTATTTGGGCCAGGCAATGGTGGCACACACCTTTAGTCCCAGCACTCGGGAGGCAGAGGCAGGCAGATCTCTCTATGAGTTCAAGACTAGCCTGGTCTACAGAGCTAGTTCCAGGACAGGCTCCAAAGCTACACAGAGAAACCCTGTCTGAAAAAACAAAAACAAACAAACAAAAGTAACTAGTCCATGAGGTCACTAGACCTTCAATCACCATTCTCCTCCCCAACAATCTCAGACATTTCACATGAGGGCACAATATTCAACCCACTGAAACATGCACACACACACATGTTCTAACCATGTTCATAACATCTCTGCTATGTATTTCTTTTTTGGAAGTATTCCAACACTTGCTGAATAATCATACCAGTATGTCAATAGACATACTCACATAGTCCGAAAAGGCCTTTAGAGGAAACATTGGCATGATATAGACACAGAGACTCAATTCAGATAAATCACCAAATAACTTCATGTAAATCTGTGTGACAAAATTAAGTTACAACTGAGAACTTTTTTCCCATAGATTAACATCCTGAGACACACCAGCCTCCAGAAATAAGAGCAGTTTTGTAAATTATCATGCTCATCATCATTGCTGCACATAGTTTCCCATATAACATTTAACATCCAACACATTTCAATTAAGTCACCACAACTAATGTTAATGACACCTTCTTCAAAACACATACCTCTTTAGAAACATTAGGGATTATGTCATAGATACATGCATATACATGCCATATAATACCACTTAGGGGCAGATTATACCTTTTTTAAAATTTTACATCAACATGACATTTCACCTCTTTTGTTCAAGGCACACCAAGATGTCTACACTAGGAAAGGAAATACACATAGTCTTCAGAATATAACATTTGATACTAACTATGTTTTTGTCCTATGTTACACACAAGAAATAAGGAAGAAAGGGGAGATAATTGCAGAGTCAGCATTCAGTAGGATCAAATGAGAACAGTTGATGTCAACAATTTTAACTCAGTAGACAGCTGGGAATGGCTATGCACTGTAATGTTGTGGTTTAGGGATTTTGCTGTGTGCCAAGGTGTGCATTTCTACATCTATCTGTTTTATATGCTCTTTCTTTGGTTGTTTTTCTGCTTATTTGTTCTCCTATACAGGTTTGTTTGTTTTTATTTAAACTTTATTACTTTTTCGGTTTAAAGATGCCTGTTCATTTTTCTACTAAGAGAGCAGGAAAGGATATGAATTTGGGAGGATGGGAGGATCTTTGGGGAGTTAGAGGAGGAACCATAACCCACATACCATGCATGCTTTTTTTTTTTTTTTTAAAAAAAAAAGTCTATTTTCATTAAAAAAAAATCACAGTTAAAAAAATTGCTTCTGTTAGCCACACTGGCTTTGTTTTGCTAATGTATTAGAAACAATACTCTTACCTATGGCATAGTTTTTTTTTTTTATTTAACAGTGTTCATGTACATTTAGATATGCAAGAATAATGAAAACAGTAAACTGTAAAGGCATCATATGTAAATATTTATAAACAGAATAGACTTTTATTTAAGGTGGATATTTTTAGTGTATTTTGGTTTTAACATGAAATTTCTCCCACAGAACTTGAACTCAAATGTGGACAGTGGTTTTGGAGGTAATGCAAACTTTAGGAGATAGCGTTAAGTTCAATTTATGTCATCAGGGTCATGCTTTGGAAGATGTAATATTTGCATATGGTCCATTTCCTATCATGATGTGAGGAAACTCTTCTACCACACCCACCTGTCACCACAATGTTCCTCACATTGGTCTTTGGCAAAGTAACCATTAACAAAATCCTTTGAAACCACAACTCCTGTGGGGTGTTGGTGGCTCACACCTTTAATTCCAGCACTTGGGAGGCAGAGGCAGGTGGATCTCCCTGAGTTCAAGGCCAGCCTGGTCTACAAAGCTAGTTCCAGAACATCCTCCAAAGCCACAGAGAAATCCTGTCGAGAGAGAGAGAGAGAGAGAGAGAGAGAGAAGAAAAAGAAACCACAATTCAAAACAACTACTTCACTACTTCATTCTTAATTTGTTTCTGCTGATAGTCACAGAGACAGAAAGACAATGAATAGAGTCACAATATCTATCTATCTATCTATCTATCTATCTATCTATCTATCTACCTATCATCTATGTCACCTATGTATATTGACAATTCCATTCAAGACTACATACATACAAAGGCATGTATCCTACCACTTCCATTTTCCTACTTTATTATTTCTTATATGAAGTATACATATTTTCTATACTGCCATGCAAAGTTTTTTTTAACACAAAATACTAACATCCAGGAAAAAGAAAAATGGATGTTGTGAGAAGTAATTATGTACCACCACGTTTATCAGCATTGCTGGTCTTTGTCTACCTCATTCATTAACTACTATTAAAATCTAGTAATAAGAACAATAAATAGTGCTGCTGGTTGTTGGTGGCGCACGCCTTTAATCCCAGCACTTGGGAGGCAGAGGCAGGCAGATCTCCCTGAGTTTGAGGCCAGCCTGGTCTACAGAGCAAGCCTCAGGACAGCCTCCAAAGCAATACAGAGAAATTCTGTCTTGAAAAACAAACAAACAAACAAAACAAACAACAACAACAAAGAACAATAAATGTTCAAAGAAAAACCTTAATATACACTAACTGGAAATATCATTGTGTTTATTTGGTAGCATACAATTGAATGCATAATTTCCAATACGATATCAAACAGTTCCATCTGGAAATTAACATGCAAGTTACATAAACTGAAATTTTCTCCCTCAAATTTATGGTAAATAATAATGTTGAAATTTTACTGAAAAAAATTTCACATATTAAAGGGATATATGGTTGCATGGAAGACCATTCTTCTAGTCAAAGCTCCGAAGAGTGTGATGAATATGAGAACAGCCCAGGATACAAAGAATTCGGTCAGCCTGGCCTGCCTATTGACACACTGTCTTGCTGAAAAGGTGTAATTACACTGACAGTACTCAAAATAATGCATAGTCAATTTGTTACAACTTCTTTACAACTGCTTATACTTTCTAAAACTTGAGTCGTAAGCATGGATGCTGAAAATCTGGGTGATAGGTAAGAAGACTCAGATACAAAGAAGAGGAAATGCATTCCTTCTGAAGGCGCCATGACTGAGCCTGGCATTCCCAGCTCAACCAATGTTAAAAATTCAAACGTTCTCACGTTCACATTCGATATCATGCTTGCTGCCATGTGGTTGGTGGGGTTTCTAGAGCGTCTGTATACAACTCAATACTGAAATTATTTATGCTGATGAAAAGCCAGATGAGATGCAGCACTCCTGTATCACACTCTTATGCTTTGTTCTTTTTGTTGTGTTTGTGATGACAGTTAAGTTTCAAGTACTATTTAAACATTTTTCTGACATTCTTTACTTTCTTATGGTTTAACAACAATATGGCATCTACTATCATTTAAGATGGTCACACCTTTTTTGTGACAGGATTTCAATGTATAGACCTAGCTGACTCAGAACACACTATGTTAGCCAGGTTGGCCTCAAATTTACAGTGATCTACATGCTGCTGCCTTCTGAGTGCTAGGATTAAAGGTGTGCACCACCATACCGGCTTTCCTGGTCTTTCGGTTTGGTGTCTTGCTATGCTGTTAAAGATCAATTCCAAATGAGTCTCTGCCAAATCACCCCCTTGGGTCAAGGTGAAAACTTGTACCTGGTGAATCACTTGCTATACACAACTGCACCTTTATGATGTTTTTGATGTAGTCTGAGGTCTGACTATACATATTGATAAAGTCTACCTATATGAGATTCCTGCCCATTTAATGCACTTAATGGTTTAAATAATATGTTCTAATTTTCTTTATCTCAAAGGGTCATTCACCTGCATACACTACATGGTGTCACATGAGATTTGACCACATGAAGTTTCTCACGTTCCCTAAATTTATTGGTCTGTACACAGAGATGAGCTAAAATAGAGAGCTTTCTTACTGTATTTTCATGGCTATTATTTGCATCTGTATGAATTCTGACATTAAATAAGGGCTACTTTTATGGTAAAAAGTTTTATATGTGTTCTCTGATGCCAGTTGTGTGATGACTTGTTGTGTCAAGCTTTAGTGTACCCTGTACATTCAGGGTTTGTCACCTGCATGTGTTTTCAGATGTCGAGTAAGATCTGACTTGGTGTAGAAAGCTTTCCTGCATTCTAGACATACATAAGGTTTCTCACCTGTATGTGTTCTCTGATGTCGAGTAAGTTCATACTTGCACTGAAAGGCTTTCCCACAGTCTTGACATTCGTAGGGCTTCTCACCTGTGTGAGTCCTATGATGTACAGTGAGCTGGGAGTTGCAGTAGAACGCTTTCCTGCACACTTTACACTCATAGGGCTTCTCACCCGTGTGAGTCCTCTGATGTACAGTGAGGTCTGACTTGCGATAGAAAGCTTTCCTGCACTCGTCACATTCATACGGTCTCTCGCCAGTATGAGTTCTCCGATGTCGAGTGAGGTCTGACCTGCACTGGAATGCCTTCCTGCACTCTTTACATTCATAGGGCTTCTCGCCTGTGTGAGTCCTGTGGTGCACAGCGAGCTGTGACTTGCAGTAGAATGCTTTATTGCATACTTGACATTCGTAGGGCTTCTCACCTGTGTGAGTCCTATGATGTACAGTGAGCTGGGAGTTGCAGTAGAACGCTTTCCTGCACACTTTACACTCATAGGGCTTCTCACCCGTGTGAGTCCTCTGATGTACAGTGAGGTCAGAATTGCGGTAGAAAGCTTTCCTGCAGTCTTTGCATGCATAAGGCTTCTCCCCTGTATGAATCCTCAGATGTACATTGAGCTGTGACTTGCTATAGAATGCTTTCCTGCACTCTTTACATTCGTAGGGCTTCTCACCCGTGTGAGTCCTCTGATGCACAGTGAGATGTGACTTGCAGTAGAAGGCTTTCCCACATGCCATACATGTGTGGGGTTTCTCACCTCTCTCAAGCCTCTGATATTGACTGAAGGTAGACTTAGAATAGAAAGCTTGTCTATATTCCTTACATTCATATGGATTCTCACATGTGTGATATCTCTGATTTGTGCTATATTGGGACTTCAGGTAAAATGCTTCCAAACATACTTCACATTCATAGAATTTTGTTCCTTGGTGGATTTCTTCATGAATCTTTAGCTCTGCCTTAAGACAGAAGAATTTGTTAAATTCCTCATATTTACAAGGAGAGGCCTACAGAATTTGCTATGTTTTGCTTATCATGATTTCCTAGTAACATTTCTCACAATTACTACATTGGAATATTTCTCTTTAGGCAAAGAATGTTATCTCACATACATTCCATTGGAAATTTTGCATCCTAATCTGTGCCATGACTTGAATAAATCACATCTTATCAAAGAATTTCCTACACTCATAGAGCTCATTAGATTTTCATTCCATACAAATGAAAACTTCTGTGTTAATAACCCTGCTTTTGTAGGTCTTTCCTAATTCAGAATGACATGATTAACTGTGCCTTAATGGCTACTCAGTTGCTCAGGGTAACTGAAGGGTTTCAATTGCTTTAAAATGATCAGACTCTTTTGTAGCCTATATCTCACAAGGTTCACTACTGAGAAGTTCATCTTGCCATATATTAAGTTTCTGAAGAAACATCCTAAGTAGTTTCCACTCTTCACATTCAAAGTTGAAATAGGATTTTAGGGGACTTGGTATTAGATTCCTGGTTGGTGGGCAGACAGGGAGAAGGACAAGGTAATAAAGATGGTGGACTTCCAAGATGGGGACTTCTTCCTCACCTTCCTGACCTGAGACAAATGCCCAGCAGCTTAAAAGAAAAGCCAAGCAGGCATCTTCTGCTGCCAGCAGGGCACCTTAGAAATGGATCTCCAATAGGTTCAAGGATGGATTAGTATACGTTTACACCAACGTCATGGGTCTATTAGGTACTCTGTCTTTGTTCAAATGGACTAACCCTAAATTAGAGGAGGGAGACCCCTCAAACACCCTTGAAGCCCAAAGCCCTTAACTAGACGCTGGGTTTCAGGCTCCTGGGTCCCCCTTTTCTTCTGTAGGGGCCTTCCTCCGTACGCCTTGCTGTGTGTTTCCTCGCCCCTAGTAATAGCCATTCTTTATAGGTGGATCTGTCTGCTGTCCGATAGTCCCTTGATACTTGCTGCTGCACTTATGAAATTTCCTGTCTTTCCTTCTTTCTTTTTCTTCCTTCCTTCCTTTCCTCCTTCCTTTCTCTCTCCCTCCTTCTCTCCCTCCCTCCCTCTCCCTCTTCTTTCCAATCCTTTAGCTGGCAGAGAAAAATGAACCTAATCAAGACAGTTTGTGATCACATCAGTTTTACCTACTTCAACGAGTTCTTCATTTGATGTATTGCTGTTGAATTCAATTTGCCAGAAATGTCTGTCTCCATTTTTCTGGCCAGCCTCAACCAGACCACTCATTTTGTTGACACCTGAAAATATTAAAAATTTCAATTTCCATGAATTGGGCGCAAGCTTTATACAATTCAAATACAAAAGTAAAATAATGCGTTTTTTATCATCACATTTGAACTTTTTTGTTTGTTGGTTTGTTTTGAGACAGGGTTTCTCTGTGCAGCACTGGTTGTTCTGGAACTCACTCTGTAGACCAGGCTGGCCTGGAACTGAGAGATTCGCCTGCCTCTGCCTCCCAAGTGCTGGAATCAAAGGCGTACTCTCTAACCAGCCAGGTTACATTTGAACTTCTCAGATATCATCTTGTAATTGTACACATGCTAGTCTTTTTTAAAAGATGTATTTATTTATTTAACATACTCTGGTGTTTTGCCTAAATATATTCTGTGTGAGAGTGTTGGGTACCCTGGAACTGGAGTTACAGATAGTAGTGAGCTGACATGTGGGTCCTGGGAATTGAACGTAGGTCCTCTGGAAGAGCAGCCAATGTTCTTAACTTCTGAGCCATTACTCCAGACCCCACAGGCAGTCTTTAATGAATTACGATAACATGGTCTACTAAGAGAGCTTGCAGGGTTAAGTCCTTGTTGTCTTTTGTACTGCTGCACTGTTAAAATACATGGCAGTAAAAGGCCTACCTATCCCTTAGCTGTAGGTTTCCTTTTTGCTACCTGCCCTGTTTCTCTATTATCTGCATGTATAATGTCATTCCTCTTTTATATAAAACATGGGAACTCTCTTCCATTAGCTACCTTTAGGACTTAGGTGTCATCAAATATCCTGCCTCCCTGTTACAGTGACAATTAGGGAAAGGATTGCTACAGCATCTCAGTTAGTGTACTTGCTTTGATAAAGAGCAGCAGGGTCCTCCATGGGGTTTTCTGGGAATAATTTTTTATGGGAAATATTGCTTGTGGCTTGCCTTTACAAGAAGAATTTTGTTACTTTGTTTTAAATATCTTCTGTAATAGTGGCTTAGTATTCATGGAATGATTCTATTTATGCTTGTCACAGAAATTCATAATATTCTCTGATTTTAGACTTTGCCTCGTAGAATAATCAGTTGGCAGTTTGTATTTTCAGGGCTTAACACACCAAAGATTATGCCTTCTGGAATTCAGTGTTTCTGTTAAGAGATCAACTATGGGGACTGAGATGGCTCAGGTTAAGAGCACTGGCTGCTCTTCCAGAGGATATGGGTTCAATTCCTAGTATCCACATGTCAGTTCACAACTTTCTGTAGTGCCAGTTCCCTAGGGTCTGACATCTTCACACCAATGCACATAAAATAAGGTTAAATAAATTATTTTTAAAAAAAGAAAATATATCAACTATGATAGTAGGCTTATATTAAAAAATAACTACCTGGCAGTAGTGGTACATGTCTTTAATGCCAGCATTTTGGAGGAGGAAGCAGGAGGACCTCTTTGAGTTCAAGGCCTGCCTGGACTACATGATTTAACTAGGGGTCTTCTAGTTAAAAACCAAACCAAAATAAATAAATAAATCAAAACAAAAAACCTTAACTATACTTCCTGCTTATAGTTTTCAATAGTCTGCCCATATTCCATCCTCTTGGCATCTTAACTATAATGACCTTTGAGGAAGCATTCTCTATCAACGTCTATCAACTTGTAGTTATAAATGCCATGCATGTGGACAACTGTTTCTTGGCCACGATTTGTACAATATTCTACACCAATTTTATGGAGTATGTTTTCTGTTGACCTTACTCTCAGTTCACTGCTTAATATAAGATTCACAGATTGGAGAGCTCATAAAACTCCAGTCTAGTCCTGCTTATAATTGTTCTGTTTTATTATTATGTGATATTATGTTCTCCTTCTTATTTTGTAATTGTTGCAACTGCTCAATGCTGCCTTCAAACAAATCCCTGGTATTCTTTCTTCCACACACTGTATACTTTTGAAAGTGTTTTGTTTGTTTTTAATTTAGCTTCTCTCTTCCAAGACCTGAGACTGTATCTGTCAGAATCACTCTGCTGAACTTCTCAACTAAGAAGCTCTGTACATGGCGGTTCATGTGAGTGCACATGCAGTGTGCTGTGTGTTTGAACATGTGTGTGCACACATGGGGATCTCAGAGGATGAGCCTCAGGCTGTTTATCTTGTTTGAGACAGTATCTCTCATGGGGACCTGAGGCTCACTAGTTCTGAGACTGGCTGGCCATGAGCCCTAGGGATCTGCCTGTCTCCCCTTCAGAAGCACTGAGTACAAGCATGGACCACCAAACCATGTTTTGATTTTTGTGCTTGAGTACAGAAAGCCAGGTCGGTACCCTTCAAAGGCGAGCACTTGACTGACGAGTTCTCTCTGTCTAGGCACCTTACTTCATTCACCTGTTCATTTGAATACTGCTAGACTTTGGATACTGCTAGACTTTGGAATTCCTTCTCCGGTGTTTAGTGACTGCACGGTGTTTAGTGCCCTCTCTCTTTTCTCTGGACACTATCCACTCACCTCTGTGACCTTGATTCCACATTCACTGAGATGGGAAGAACTGCTCACATGTCTGCCACTCGACGATGCAACCCCTTTTTTCTTAAAAACTGCACAGGGGACACTACAGCCAACAAAAGTCTTGCTCGGCTACTAACTTTTAATTGTGTTTCCTATCTAGTCTTAAATTTAAATCCACATGTGTATTTCATGGCAAGTTTGGAAAACAGTTATTGAAAAGTAAAACTGGAATAGAGAAAGCTCCATATTCCTTGCTCTGCTCGTGATAAACATTCTCTGTGGCTTATCTCAACACAATACATCGCCCCTTTGCTGTACTTTTCTCAAACTAAATGGACATATTTGTAAGAGAAGATGCATTTGTGTGTGATTATGATGATAATGCTAGTCAAAGGCAGTGTTGACATAATGCTGAGAAATTCCTAGCTTACAATATATGGTAATTAAAGGGGAAGAAAGAGGCACAATTGTAGAGCCAGGTAAAGTAGCTAAATTATTCCAGAGAGTAGCCAGACCCCCCCCCCAAAAAAATAATAATAATACATTTTTCAGCACAGCACCAAGACACTGGGGGTTTAACACCCAGACCTTTGGGGAAACTGGATAAAACAAGTGTCTGATCCATGAGACCAGCTGTCCTCAAGACTGGGCTTAGGTGAAACCTATTGAAAACAGTCCAATAGGAACAGTATCGGATGGTCTCTATGCTACTGCCTTCTCGCCTTACAGCATTCACTAACCTGAGAGGTTCCAGGCTGAGGCATCTGCTGTGCTCCAGGGCCCAAGTCCATGTTCCAAGTTGAAGATCAACTCAGGCTTAGTCAAGCAGTGCCCTGGGAATGAGAAACAATGTACAGATTGTGATAATATGGTAGTCAAGACCACTGACAGACAGACAGCAACTCCATCTTGGGGACTGTCAATGATGGGTGATTTAGAAACGTCTTCCTTCCTTCCTCCCTCCCTCCCTCCCTCCCTCCCTCCCTCCCTTCTCCTCTCCCTCCTTCCCTCCATTCCTTCCTTCCTTTTTTTCTTTGATGGACTGGAGATTAACCCTGTGGCCTTGCACATTATAGGAAAGTACACTGTCAACTGAGCTGTATCCCTAGCTCTAAGTGAATTACAAATTTTTATTGAAGTAGATTTTCACTCATATTCTTTCCACTGATTGAAATGTTGTCCCCAAATGTCAAGTGGCATTTAAGTAATGATTTTGAGGGGAGAGTGGATGGTGGCATAGTGGGGAAAATCCTTGTTATGCAAGTATGAGGGACAGAGTTCACGCCTCAGCAATCACAAAAAGGACTGGCGTCGCTGCACATACTCCTGTACACCTGGGGTTGCAGAGGGTGGACACGGGGTATTTCTGGGAAGGGCCAGCCACCAGCCTACCTCTAGGTTCAGTGAGAAGTACTGTCTCAGGTGAACAAGCAGAGACCAGTAGAGAAGAATGCCTTATATTCTTCCGTGGCTTCCATAGACAACCACATGCATGTATGATCATACTCCATATACTCAAACACATACACACAAAACCATAGGGAGCTGGGAGGTGGTGGCACATGCCTTAAATTCCAGCACTCTGGAGGCAGAGGCAGGCAGAGGCAGGCAGAGGCAGGCAGATTTTAGTGAGTTCAAGGCCAGCCTGGTCTACAGAGCGAGTTCCAGGACACTCAGGACTGTTACACAGAAATTTGGTCTTAAAACCAGCCCCCCCCCACCCCAACATACCCAAAAATCACAGGAACAAAGGAAACTTCTAGTAAATAATAATACAATAAAATTGGATTGACAATTTGTCTGACCAGATAAATTACACAAAGATAAAGTAGTCATAAAAAAAAAAAAAAAAAAAAACTACCCAAAAGATTTATAAGGAAGAACCTCAACTGATGTGGGGAAAAAAGGTAAAAAGCAGGAAGATGTCACAGCTGAAATGCCCAAGTAGAGGTAAACACTGACACAAAGATTGGCTACTTTAAAAATGAACAAAGGCAGATGAAAGAATTGTGTGTATGTGGTGGTGGGGGGGAGGTACAGATAGCGTCTGGAGAGATGGCTCAGTAGTAAGAGCACAGGCTGCTCTTCCAGAGGATGTGGGTTCCATTTCTAGCCTCCACATGGTGGATCACAGCCATCTTTACCTCCAGTTCCAACATGTCTAATGCCCTCTTCTGGTCTACAAGTGCATCAGGCATACAGTTGGTACACAGACATATAAGAAAGCAAAATACACACACACATGAAATTTTAAAATTATACATGGAAACATGGTCCTTTTTAAGAAAACATACATCTGCATTATTTGTGTTCCAGAAGGAAAGAGGATGGATATAAAAACATAGACAGACATATTTAAGGGGCCCTAATAGATTTGGACCAACAAATCATTGTATATCACATTACATCCAACTGGCAAAACTCTGAGACAAAGGAAATTCTAACAACACAAAGAAGGAAGTCTAAAGTTGCTAAATGAACACCTATTACAGGAACAGCCAAGTTCTCACCGGTCACTTTACATACTAGCCATTACAATGATTTCCAAATAATAGATCCAATATCCCCAACAATTAAAGATTTAAATAATCTCCATAGAATAGAAAGTGGAGCAAAGACATAGCTATTAAGACCATGTGTGATTCATACCAGAGACCAACGTGCAACACTCTGTACACATAGTTTAGAAGAAAACAAAGGAAAGCCCATGCAAACTTCATACTCCAGAGGCCAGGTGGAAGGTGCTAGTCACCAGTCTGCTATGTAGTTAGCAGGTAAAGTTTAGGAGCAGGGAACAAGCTCACTGGAAAACACTTCACATGGGTACTGAGAGGTCTTCGTCTATCTCTGCTGCTACTGAACGGAGCTGAGAAGCTTTGCTTTGCACTGTGTTCCCTGCAAGAGGCTCTTCCTCAACAGAGGATCCACGTGAAAAGGAAACCTCTGACCTACTGGAACTAAAGCACATCTTTCCTACTCAAGACTCTCCCTCCCCAATGGTGTCAGAGGGCTGGGGAGCTGACAAGCACATGCAGTCACCAGATTCCCCACAAAGGCTTTAGAACTCTCATTCAGAAGCCTGGATACTTACATGCCATGGGAAGGGACTGGACTTTCATGCCATATACAGAAATCAACTAAAAACTGGATCACAGAATTAAATGTAAGACCTGGAACTCTAAAACTCAGGACAATGATGGAGATAGCCAATCCAGCCAATTTATGCCAATCCAGCCAACAGAAGCAAAGTCAGCAAATGAGATGACATCAGACTAAATGTCATGACTAGTGCATGCCTAGGATGAAAATACTAGCAAATTATTTATTCAGCAAGCAACTGATAATTTCTAGACTATATAAGGATTTCAACCATACAACACAGAAAAGGAAAAAGTCTCATTAAATCTGGGCACATAGCCTAAATTGATATTTCCAAAGCATCATATACAAATATGTTTACAAGTAAAAGTAAGATATTTTCCCAAAATGACTTATCACTTAAATATGGATAGAATGTTATTTTTTAAGATCTGAAATAAAAAATGCTAAGAAAGTTACACAAACATGTAGTATCAATATATATTAGAGCAACTACTTGAAAATATAGTATGATGGGTCTAATAACTAGACCCAGCATGGCATCAACATTGTCCCACTGTTGGTTGTTTACAGTCAAAGGAAGTGATACCCATGTTTCCAGGGAAATCTACACATAAGCGTTATTCAACAGAGTAATGTAAGTAGACAAATGTGGCAGATATAAATTTAAAATAACAGAACATTGTGCCATAGTGACAGGCATATAGGGCATTGCTATTCTGTAGTATGGCTAGTATTCTGGGCTTGAAGTGCTTGGCACAAAGTCATGGCAATGGAATGAAGACAATTACTCAGTAAATCTCTAGGGCTACGCATGGTAACAGGACTGGTAACATTCCCTTCCAAGTCTATCATGGATTTCTCGCTGAAGTTCCAACCTGGGCACACCTTTGCCCAATTGTAGATTGATAAAACTGTAAACAAAAACTAACTAGGGTTGGATCTTTTTGCTTTTTTTTTTTTTTTTGTACACTAAATAAACCAAATAAGCTCATGTAGTCACCAAGCATTGATGAAGTCTTTCTTTGGGCAATAAAACGCCATCCATATTCGGAGCAAACACATTTTTCCTGTGTCTCTCCAGGAAAATTACAATATGAAGATGAAATATATCAGGCAAAAAATGAAAAGTCTTCTATATTCTCATCATACTCGCAAACTAAAGGTGTCCTCAAACAGAGAGTAAAACAACAGCTACCACTGAGAGGGAAAGATACAGAAATGGAGAGATGGGAAAAAGGAGGAAAGCATTAATGAGGTATGTTAGGAAGGGAGGGATAGCATAAGCTCTACAATACTATTGTACGCGTACAGATGACACCAACTGAGTATTTCCGAATAACAGCAGAGAGATTTTAAACGATCCAACACAAACAAGTGGCTCCAGGGCTGCTACACTATCAGTTAGCATCAATTAGAAGGCTACACTGTTCTTCAGAAATGTGTATCATGGCCATGTCAATCTAAATGTACAACATCCAATTAGCATCAAAAGTAAGTATCAATTCTACATCAGTACTTCTGAGAATTTCAGGAGACAGACTCACCCAAGGACACCAGGCTGCTATAATTCTCCAGCATCACGTCTCTGTAGAGGGTTCTCTGGGCAACATCCAGGTCCTGCCACTCCTCCCAGGTGAAGTCCACGGCTATGTCCTCAAATGACACCAGCACCTGGAACGACAAATTTGTCTCCAAGTTGTCCTCAGCCTTAGGAACAGCAGGTGGAAATTCAATGTTTTATGTATATCTATGTCTTATCAGTATTTTATAAAAAATGTAGCATGCTTTGAACTCTGTATTATGATAGAAGGAAAAATCATCACAAAAATCTTACCTATGTGTTAATCTTGTGATTCAAAAAATGATTAGAAACTTTTCCAAAGAATTATAACAGAAACAAAAATCCATAGAGGAATACATGTATATGCATGGTTTGTATTATTATAAGCAAAAGACAGACATATATAAACATAACCATATAAAATTTACATCAAATATATAAAGAATGAACAAAACAATGGAAAGACAGATGCCGGGCTGTAGCACACCACTGTGGTATAGTGCATGCAGAGAGGGGCAGGGTCATGGGTTCGATTCCAAGAGCCTGGTGCAGCAGAGGCTCTAGGCTTAAACTGCGGAATCCACGTGGAATCGAGTAAATTGGCATAGAGGTTGTGAAAAATTTGTTGATACTGAAAGTTTCCTGATTATGGGATAACCAAAATCTGATTCTGAATCAAATGAATCCTGGGCAGCACTCACCCAGGTTACCTCAGGTGACCTGGGTGCAGCTGTTGCAAATGCGCTTACTTCCTTCCCACCATGATTACATCACACCACACAACTCCAGGAAACATAAATGCCTTGGCTCACATGTATGTTTTAAACTTCCATGTTCTTATTATAAATACATTTTCCACACTCACAGAGACACGAAGGCTCAGTTACAGAGAAGATCTAACATTTCCATACTCTTCATCTAAGCATCAAAGTAGTACATGTTTGATTATAAGAAAGAAAAGCTTTCATTACTCAGTATGCACCTGGCACTCATCTTTAACTAAAAGCATATGCATACCAAAGAATTGTTTTAAAATAACTTCTTTATGATTTTGCATCAGTAAATCTTCAAGCCATTTGTATACCCATATATCTAGGGTCATATAAAAATATCTCAGATGAAAGTGGCCATGAATGAAAAATGTTTTAAAAGCCCTGAATAGTAGAAACTTGATTTTTCCTCTTTCCATGGACACAAACAATAAATATCTATACATACCCCAGGCCCTTCTGGAAAGTACACATAGGCTGCCAGACTTGTATATTTGTTATAATATATAGAACAACCATATAAATGAGTTTGGAATCACCGGGCACACAGAAGTATGAACTCTACATTGGGCCAATGCACTATATAATTAGAAAACAATTCCAAACCTTTAACATCGTCCTGAAGAGAGAAAGGCAGGTTACCTAAACTCTGCTATTCCAGCCACATGAGTGTATCTAGAGCACACATAATACATGAGAGTTCTACACACAATGTTTTGTTTCCACTGGCTTCATCCCAAGGGATCAGGACAGAAACTACCGACACAGGTTGCTTACTGCTGTTGCTGATAAGCAAGCTTTTATCCAACTTGCCCCAAAGGAATGAACAGGGTAGAATGAATAGAGAGCTCAAGCAGCCTGGGGCATCTTAGCCCTGTCTCAGCCTGGGCACCCTCCTTACCTTATAGAAATCTAGTTGGCTCTGAGTACCTCGGCTTTAACAAAGCCACTTAGGGGATACAGGCTGAACTCCCAGGCTCTAGAGGAAAGGGACCTGGCCATACATCTTCCTGGATCTCAGAGAAACAAATGATTTTGGGGGATTAAATGACAGCTTCCATGGTCTCAAATCCCTAGCAGTATTACTGAAAAGGAGATATCAACACTGATCACTGAGATTTCTTTTGTGGCTCAGTGGTGTGGGTCTTGAACATGAATGTTGCAGGTGACATGGTGGCGTCGCAATGCCAAAGTGTTGGACATAACTGCAAGGTTTGAAGGGGGAAATTCAATCAACAAGCTGTAGGGCCATGGAGGCTACTGGCTTTTTAGTTGATTTTGTTTCCTGCTACTTTGCTGAAAGTGTTGGTCACTATAGAAACTTTCTGGTAGAATTTTTGGCACCTCTTATGTATTGTATCACATCATCTGCAAATAAGGATAATCTAACTACTTTTCTCATTTGTATCTCTTTAATTTCTCTCATTGTTCTAGAAACCCATTTAGAATGCAGTTGGCCATAGGTTTGTCAGATACAGCTTTTATGTTGAGGTATGTTTCTGCTAGTCCTATTCTTTTATCTTGAAGGCATGTTGGATATTGTCAATGGTCTTTCTGCATCTACTGAGATGATAATTTTGTTTTCATACTTTTATATGATTTTGTAAGTCCACTTACATACTTATTGAATTAACTTATGTATGCTGAACCACCCCTAGATTGCTGGAATAAAGCCAACTTAATCATGGTGGATGATCTTTTTAATATATGCCTCTCTTCAGTTTACATGAGGGATAATAGTCTGTAGGTTTCTCTTTTGTGTTTATTTACCTGGTTTTGGTATCAGATTAATACTGGCTTTTTGGAAGAAGTATGGAAACATCCCTTTTGCTTTTACCTTTTTAAAAAAGATGTAAGAAATGTTGGTTGTAGATCTTTAAAAGTCCAACTGAATTCTGCTATCAATATTTATTAGTTACTTCACTGCAGCAGTAACAAAACCAACATATAGAGGAGTTTAGTTTGGCTCAGTTCCAGGAGGTTAAGAGTCATAATGACAAGGACAGCATGGCAGCCAGCAGAAGGCATGCACACAGAAGCAGGAAGCTGAGAGCTCACATCTTCAAGCAAAGAGAGGGAACTATAAGTAGGTAGGTAGTGGCAGACTTTCTCTAGCAAGGCCACACCACCTCCACATCCACAGAGAATACTGCCAATTGGAGACCAAGCGTTTAAATGCCCAAGACTATGGGGCATTTCTCATCCATCTGGACCCAGGAATTTTTTAGTCTGATGGCTCTTTAATAGCCTTTTGATCTCCATACTTTTATGGGTCTGTTTAGGTTCTCTGACCTTTTCTCGGTTTAACTTTCATGGTTTAGATGAATCTAGGAACTAATCCATTCCTCTAGGTTTCCTAACCTAAAGGAGTCCAAGTTTCTAAAGTACTGTCTTACAGTATTCTGAATGTCTTTGGTGTCCGTTTTAATGTGGTCCCATTCATTTCTGATTCTGTTCATTGGGGTCCTGTTTGTTTGGTTAATTGGGCCGAGGGTCTGCCAATCCCATTTATTTTCTCAGAGAATCAGCTTTTAGGTTTGCCCTGTTTTCATTGTTTCTATTTCATTAATTTATGCTCCGATTTTATAATTTCCCCCATCTATTAGATTTGGTTTCTTTTTTTCCAAATCCTTGTATTGTATATTGTAATTTACTTCTTGTGCTAACTCTGTCTGGTGGGTTTTTTTTTTTTTTTTACTAGAGACTTACTACATCCTGGTGTGGAGACAAGCTGAGCCTAGGAAAGAAGCTGTGCTTGCTATGGAGGGTGAGCGCTGGAGAAGTGATTCGCCATGGCCACTAGAGCACAGAGCACTGTGAGTCCCAGATGCCAAACGCCAAATGGTGTATATCAGTGGACCCTGCTTTGCTTTGATCTGATTGTTACTGCGACCTAGTTCTTCCTTCTTAGAGTAAGAAAGAATTTAACTTATTTTTTTCTTTTTCAAAAGTCCACAGAGACTTTGCATATTTTATAAAGGCTTTTATTTTAAAAGATATTTTAAAGAGACTGGACATATAAGGTGTTTGAATTGATAAAGGCTGTGGAACTTTAAAAGTCAGAACGGGCAGGTCATGGCAGCACACGCCTTTAATCCTAGTATCCGGGAGACAGAGGTGGACAGATCTCAAGTTGAAGGCCAGACTGGTGTACAAAGTGAGTAGAAAGCCAGTGCTAAAAATAAAAGTCAGAATGTTTTATATTGTCATATTAAAATAACATTTTAGGGACAAGAAAGGAAAGGTTATGGGTTCACAGTGATGTGCTTATGTGTCATGTTGACAAGGGGTCAGATTTTCTGATTAATTTTATGTCAGCTGGCACAAGCTGGAATCATTTTTGAAGAGGGAACCTCAATTTAAAAATCGCTGCCACCAGATTGGTCTGTGAGCGAGACTGCGGTACATTTTGTGCATTTTCTTGAGAGCCCAGATCACTGGAAGTGGTGACACCCCTGGCCTGGTGTTCTAAGAATGCAGGTTAAGCAAGCCAGGAAGCAGGGTTCCTCCATGCCTCTGCTCCAGTCCCTGCTCCTGCTCCTGGGTTCCATCTCTAAGTCCCAGCCCTGACTTCCCTCCATGGTGGACTGTGGTCAGCCCATGTGATCTTCCTTCTCCAAGCTGCTTTTGTCATGGACTCACCCGGCCGGTGTGCAGGCCGTGTGAGCAAGGCTAGGTCTAAGGACTGGGGATGGCAAAGGCAGGAGAAGTTCTGGGGATTCACCAGGCAGGGATGGTGCACAAATATGTGCTCCGGACTAGGCCTGAAGCAGAATCCATGTTCCCCAGCCATGGTCAATCACTTTGTGTCGTCTCTGGGAGGTTACAGATTTGTTTTCCATGGACAAGAAAAAGTACATAAACCAACTTATATAGTTTTCTACCTAAGTTTTAAAACATTTTAATTCTTTGAAAATCTTACAGATGTATACAGTATATGTTATCTATCCCCCAGCCCACTCCTTCCACTCCCCTTGAACACTCCATCCCAACTTCATGCCCTTCTTTTTCTTAAATAACCCACTGACTCCCAATGTGCATGGTGGTGGGGCCATCCACTGGAGCATGGGGTAACCTACCAGGGGCTCCACCCCAAAGAAAACCGATTTTCCAAATTTCATGTATCCATTAAACTATGGTATAAATCATATACTTAGTGTAATGTAACTAAGAAAGCCACAGAATAATCAGCCTGTGATCCTTGCTAGGGACGTGCCACAGACTCACCATTTCCGGGTTCCAGGACACCCAGTGTCCTCACTATGGTTCTCAAGGGAGCAACATGTCACCGGGAAACAGAAGTGGCATTAGAGCCGCTTGATCAAGATGAACCTGATGAGAGACCACATGATGGTTTGTTCGCAGACAGTGACCGCCAGTCCTACTGTCCTTGGCACAAACCCAGGGGGAATGAGGCAGGAAAGACAAGTTCCTGTCAGCGGGTACTGTAAGGCAGAGCTTCCACTGTGGCCCAGTTGGAGGCTGGCCTCGAATGACCAGCCTTTCTTATGCCTCCCAGTGCTGAAACTACAGGCTCCAGAGCACAGCACCTCCTTAACCAGACTCACCTTGAAACAGCAAACTGTCATGCTGAGATACCAAGGTATGCAAACATTTAAAATCTCACAACCTCTGGAAAAAAAAATCTCATGTTCTTCCAAGAGCAATTCTCCCTTCCCATAGTCACATGAACATTGAGATTTTTAAGTCAGATGCTTTGATTGATTATACAACTACCCATTTCCCCCTCCAGCTTTGCTACTTAGGAAAGTGTTTGAAATTCAACAGAGTGTGCACTTCTGTGGTTAGCAAACATCAATGAGTCCTGTAGGCAAGCCAGACTCCAGGCTGGGATATTCTATGAAGCATGGGCTTTTTCCTTATGAAACTTAACTCATCTAAGAGCTCAATTCAAGTTAATTCCCTCTTTCTCCCAATACCCCGGACTCTGGAATTAATTCCAGTGTAACAGTTACAATAGATCAGTCACAACAAACCCTGTTGGGGTGAAGGCTGCAGTGACCAGCCCCCCCCCCCCCCGTAACCTCAAACCTTTTCTTCTCATTATGCACATTGCTTGTCTCTCAGTATGATTTCAGGCATGTTTACTGCATGGTATTAAAAGCTGTATTCTTGCTGGGTGATGATGTACACCTTTAATCCCAGCACTCGGGAGGCAGAGGCAGGTGGACCTCTGTGAGTTCAAGGACAGTCTGGTCTACAGAGAGAGTTCCAGGACAGATTCAAAGCTACACAGAGAAACCCTGCCTGGGGGGAAAAAAAAAAGACAAACAAAAAAACCCAAAAACTGTATTCTTGCTTTTGCCAAAACTTCCATAGATTTCCTAGAAATACTTTTTAAGCACACTCATATAATTTATAGTCAGTATTGTCTTTGCCCTCAACTTTAAGGATGTCTCCAATACAATTATACACTTTTATATTGTAATTTTCTCAAGATAAGTATGATATAGGGTCAATTTTACCAGGTTTATATAAGATGAAGCATCATTCCCCTTAGGGCATTTAAATTTTTTATTATACATATACTTATTTTTTCCATAAAACCAATTTGTTATTCACTCACAATCCCCAAAATAATATTTATAATTTTGTCACTGCTCTCTGCCAAGAGTCCAGCTTTACACATGTTACCAAAGAATAGTCTTATGGGTTGTACAAGCAAAACTGACCACAGAGTAAATGAGTTGTTAAGATTGAGAATGAACTGACAGCTGCTATCACTGGACCTGGACTTCTGTTCCCGGGGTTCAGTGTTATTTGGTGATGTGAGAAATTTCTCTGTACTGCATTGTTTTCTGGAGGTTTCTGTTTGAGACAGACTCACTTTGTCGTTCCAACGGGCCTTTGCCATATACTCCTGCCTTTGCCTCCCAAATGCAGAGATCATAGACACATGCTATCATGGTTACCTGCACTGAATTCTATGAATTAATATGAATTCTCATCAATAAAGCTAACCTGAGCCCACATAAATATACTCTATGATATCTGTGATGGGACTATTCATTTCTCTCTCTCTCTCTCTCTCTCTCTCTCTCTCTCTCTCTCTCTCTCTCTCTGTGTGTGTGTGTTTTCACGTGAATGTGTGCAAGTATACACTCAGGTGCATGCATACAGAGCAAGATAGGCATGTGAGGCTGTTCTCCCTACATTCAGTTACAGCCCTGTCTCCTCACCATGTATAACTGGCTAATGCTAGCCTGTACTGTGCCTGTATCAACTTCAGTATATCTGATAGAAGATTCCAGCTTACTTCCAATACTGTTGGTATTAACTTGTGCATAGAGCCTGGCCTTCCAGAGGCTTTATTGCTTTGGAAATAATGCTATGACCTACATCTACCTCACAGCCCTGCACCGTTCCTACCATCGCCACCTTAGGAATGACTCAGGAATAAGCCCTGACATGACTCTTATTACTCTGCTGAAACTGGCCTCTTGAAAGACTCATCCTCAAACAGATACAGAAAACAGAACTCACTTCTTGTGGATTTTACCAATACCTCTCCAAAGAGGATGCAGCAGCCATAAGTAATGAATTTTGTGTGTTTTTTACCTCCATTTTCATGCATCTTCTACTGTCCAACACACCCTTCTCCTACTGCAGAATACACTTTCAACCATCTCCTACTGGCAAAAACACTTCTTCTGCCCATCCCCTACTCGCCAACACACTTCCATCCATTGTTCAAAACACTTCTACTGTAGAATACACTTTAGCTCTTCTCTTACTGTCCTATACACTTGCACCCAATTCCTATTATCAAACACATTTCACCACCTCCTATTGTCCAACACAGTTTCACCCCACCCCTACTTTCCCTTTGTCTTGCATAGTATGCCCATGCTCAAGGCTTTTTCCTTGCTCCAGGATTTGGAACTTGGGGGAGTTTTTGAAGACAAGTGAAGAGGTATAGAGTAAGAATGACAGAAACTGCCTGTCGTCGCATTTCTTGCTGGTTTTCTCTTTTGTGAAACGGGTAAGCTGGTGCTTAGTTCTCATGCTCGTCAGACTCTGCCCCATTCCAATGAAACTGCTCTGTATAGATATCATGTAATAGTTGGGAGATGTCCAATTGCTGTATAGTGGGTGGATGGAAGTTGCATCTTTACGGTTTGGGAATTAGAGTAATACTGGCATTATAGAAGTTATTTGGTAATGCTCCTTCTGTTTCTTTTCTTTCTTTTGTTAAAAAACTAATTTAAGAAGGACTGTGGCTCCTCCTGGGAATTCTGCTGTGAACCCATCTGGGCCTGAGCTTCTCTTTCATAGAAGACTTTACATCACTGTTTCTAGTTCCTCAGTTAAGTACCAGTTCACACTGTGGTCTATTTCAGAAAAGTTCCCATCAGCTGCTGTGTCTATTCTTTGCTGCTTGAGTGAAACTTTCTTTAGGCATGTTAGTTTATATGACACATGCTGTCATTTACTTCTGATGTTTCTATTGCTGTGCAGCCTACGGAGAAAGTGGTATTCTGAATGGAGTTAATCTGTAGGGAGTCATACTCCTAACAGGCCTGATGACCTGGGATGGATGTATGAAGGTGGCAAAAGGAAGAGAACTCTGACCACCTGTTTCAAACAAGTGGCCCTGGATAGCCCGAGCTGATGTTATTTACACCATTTCAATAGTGTGTATAAAAGGTTTTACAATCATATTTGCTTTCTTAAGTTTCCAATAATAATCACAATAATTGCCAGTTTGTTCCCTTACCTCATTCTCCTTCCATCCTCCAATTTCCCCACTAGTAACCATTACCTACTTGATTCATAGCTCTAATGTTAAGAGCATAAGCAGAATTGCAAGCAAAACAAAAGAAGTTTTGTAACTGGGTACACCTACAGATAGAAGAGTGTGCCCACTTTGCAGCATTTGTGGTTACAGCAAAGTGGAAAATAGTTTTGCTCTAATGGTTAATGTTTATCTCTGGTCAAATCTTAAGTTCTCATAAACAACTTATCAGCTAAGGCTGAATTGATTCACCCTTCATTCTATACTACTCTATGTATATCCCCCTATGGGGGATATACAGGTTTTCTCCCATCCTCTAAATTACATAACTTAAAAGTTTAGTCTTAGTAGTTGGCACGCTTATCTCTTGTTCTCACGTCCCCTTTGTCTCAGCTTCCTACGGTGTTGGTGCCTACAGTATTGGCACAGTTATGGCATGAGGGCACTGGGGGTTTCTGCTTCACTCCTTGTTCTTGTTCCCATTAACTCTTGATATCATCTATTCATTTGCATTACTGTTAGGTTCTTGCAGCATTCTCTCCAGAACAATTATGCAAATTTATAATATTGTCATGAACGTCTGTGACTCTTTCAGGCCAGTCACAAGTAGGAAAGGCAGCATCCTGTTCTTGAGAAGCCTGATTTCATGGTCACGCCTGAAACATCAAAGGCTTTAGAAGCTGAATCAGATCCAGTATACTTTTAACATTCCCTCTGGCTTACACAGATGAGAGTCATCAGGGGAAAGTTTTCTTAACGCAGTAGCCATTTCATGTATGGCTCTGAGAAAGTGGAACTAGAGGCAGTCAGTAAGGAAAGCAAGGAGAGCAGGTAGCACATAAGCTCCTGGGGTCATGCCCAGAACCATACAGCAAATATCCATTGACCTTGCCAAAAGGGGAACTTGTTCATACTATTCTCAGGCCTTGTCACATGTCTTCCAGCATGCTGTTTATGAAACTGCAGTGTTTAGTGCATTTCTGTTCAAGATTGTAATGTCTTCTTGGTTATTGTTCCAGTGATTAACATGAAGAGCATTTTTAACTCCTGGTTTGTTTTAGATTGAAGTCTATTTGCCAGATATCAGAAGAGCAACATCTGCTTGCTTCCTGATCACATTTGCTTAGAAACTTTTACCAATACTTTCTTTGGAGGTAAGATGAATTTGTTTCAGACAACAGATAGTTTGTTTCTTAATCCACTCAAGTAACCTGTGTTAGTTAATAATATTTAATGCTATTATACTAAGGTGTGTTGATTGCTGTCATTTTGCTGGGTTTTTATACTTTTTTGTTTCTGTTTGTGCTTTTAGTCTCATTTTGTGATTCGGTAATTCTAGCTTCATTTGCTTTCTTTCTATGGTCTCTGGCTATGCTCACTCCTCTCTTCAGTGCAAAGTCTTGCTTCCAATATTCGCTGTAGGGGCATGTTTTATGGACATGAATTGTCGGCCTGTTTATATCATGGAGTCCCCCTCCCCACTTTCAACTATGGTACATGTTTTTGTTCATGGTCTTTGAGAACTTAAATTGCACTGTTCTAGTATTTTCTTTCTGGCTTTTAAATCGTCCATTTAGAAGCCA